CACCAGGAAAGTGGGGGAAGAAAACCAGGCTAACCTTATAACATTAACTTCAACATGCCCTCTGCAGATTGCAGTGCTCAAGCATGTCTATTCACATCTCAAAGCATCAAACAGGATTTGGTGGTGGATGGCCCCCGCAGGATACTGTGGAAGGGATTTGTGCGCTTTTGTGCTCCTCCTTGGCCTGCTGTTCTCTTTCTTGCTACCTACATTTGCATCGACATACACTTGGCCTGGTTTCTGCTGTTGCTATGGTGCCTAACTTTTTAAGGGCAGAATACAACAAAACTTCCTTGGGAAAAAGAGGCCGAGTTGTCAGAAGTTGATTAATAGGTCTTTTTCTGTGAGGACACTGCAAAGTGTTTGTACTCAGGCTTCCTGGCCGTAATGAAAGCAAGTGCCTAATTCCCAGGGTACCATGTTTGATTCTAGCACGGCAATTCCATTTAATTCACACAGCCTTGCTAAATTAATCTAATTTGAGGATTTGTTCCAATGTACACTGCTCTTCCATCTACATTTCTGCCCAGTGTTGGTAAGGAGCATTCTGGTCTGCAGTTTAAATTTTCTGATTCACAGAGCAGTCAGTTGAACTCTTCCTGACAGCAAACTACTTGCTTGATTTACTGGAATGCATTCAAACTATTATAAGAAAGCAGTTGCACAATTTTTTATCATCTCAAGAATCCTCCTGTTGCTATCTGAGAATTGTCACTACATCTGCAATATATTTTGGGATGTGGAATGTGCTGTGGGACAGTGGCAAAGCATGTGCAGAAGGTCTCAAGCTCAATCCCTGGCATATCCAGGTAACTCAAGTGTAACTCATAAGGAGCAAGGTGAACAACTGGTACGATGCATTGTGAGGCAGCTGCCTACATATTATAAAGCCTTATAGGAAAAGTTGACACCTGCAATAAAATCCGTATCTTCTAGCATGAATGTTACTGTTCAGGATTCATGTAGCCAACAATGTCATCCTCTAGGATAGTATAAGCTGTAAGAGGCTTGAGTAGGTCATGTCCCTCCACCCCAGTTTTTCATCTCCACTCAAAAGACGCTCAACAAGATAGCTCAGTCGGTAGAGCATGAGACTTAGGGTTATGGGTTTGAGCTCCATGGTGGGCAAAATGATTCCTGCATTGTATGGGGCAGGACTAGATTCCTCTCCTGTTCCCTTCCAACTTTATGATTCTATGACTGTTGAGCATGCTCAATGCTTGTGGGGCTCATTTTTGGTTCCCTTGGGGTATTTTTTTTAAAAAGATTGCATTTGCAAATCTAGGGGTTCCCCTAATATTGCTGATACTTTATTCTTATTTCTCAGTAGCCCCATTTTGGTCCCATTTGTGTTGGCACTCACCATTTGAGTTTGCTGTTGAAGGAGTGATGGGGGGGTGTTAAGTTGCATAATGATTCCCCCCCCACACACAATGCACACTATTTATATTTATTTATAAAAATATTTAAAGGTAACATCTCATAACATATGGGAGTGTACAACAATATGTGTGTAATAAAACATAAACATCATTATAAAACAGTACAAAATAATAATTTAAATGACTGGCTAGTCAAAAATGTTTCAAACAACTGCATAGGCCTGTCAGCGTAGAAAGGTCTCCGAACCTCTGTGGGAAGAAATATATATGTGGTATATAAACACAGTATTTTTCACATTTCTTATATTCTCAGCCACAGACACCTGTTCATATTGTGGCATCCTTCTTTTACTACACATGTTTACCTTTACACTTTAAAATTGTTGCTCTTTTTTATTATTGGAAAAACAATGGAAACACAATGGGTGGTTGCAATGATTTTAAGGACATGTGAAAGAGCTATAGAAGCAAGTCTAATATAAATACATGAATAAAGACACAATAAATGGAAAGCCAAGTCCTTAACTACACTGATATCCCACAGGAAGCCTATGAGGTCAGACACAGGTCAGACAAAGTCAAGCCAGTGAGCTAAATAATAATATTATGATGGATGGGAGAGATTCAGAAGTTGACACATACACAGGGCAGGTTCATTTGACTTCATGAGCTCTATGGAGAAAAGAAGCATTACTTCTGATTGGCCGATCCTGGACCACTGTAACTTTTCTAAGTGTACATGCATATATTAAACATGCTAATGGTCAACGATGTCTTATCTGCAAGTCTAGAGCAAATCAGACCTGCCTACCATAATTTTATAAATAAAAATAAAAGGAAAATAAGGTAGATTAAGATATCTCAGATAGTTGAAGGTGGTATGATAGAAGGATCACTTCTCTATGCTATACTGTCATCAATCGCAGTTCACATATTTTGTTCTGGACTTAGTTGCTAGTCATTATTTGTGATCATATTCGCTTCCCTCTGTCTCGAGTACTCTCTGGAGTTGGGAAAGGTCATTCACTTACTTCATGCACACCTTTGGCAACGTTTGGCGGCATCCATAAACACTTCTGCTAATTTCTAAGATTGTCCCAAACCTGGAGTGAAATAGGACTAAAGTCTCCCTTTCCTCTAATTTTCTATGCATGCCAGAGAGAATGGCTATCTCTCTCTTTCTCAAGCAGCAGTATGGGTCTTTGCAGACATCCTTTTTAGTGCACATTCATGATGATTTGCACTCTTGCTGCTATCAGGGTATCTTCAATACTATTGGTACCTGCAAGTGTTTGGGGGAGGTTGCACTACTTCGTTTCCAATAGTGTATATCCTGTAATTTACTTACACAGAAAAAGATGTTGGTTCAACTACATGTCTTTATGCCAATATTTGTAATGTTTCAAGTGAAAGCTTAAGGGGTGTTTCTGAGTGGATTTCCTTTATCACAGGGTAAGGTTGGCTTTTGTTTTCTTTGTTTTCTAATCTCTGATTAGATGCCATCTAGACAAAGCAAATGCAGGGCATGGCAACACATTATAAAATGCACAACCATTATTATTTTAGAATATTTTTTGCACACTTCAGCATACAAAGTGCTGTGTAATTCTTTCATTCAAGGCCATGTTTTTAGATATATGTTTCTCATTGGATTCTTCAGTAGTGAGAGGATCACAGCTGATTTTTCTGAAACGTTAACTATGAAATGCTTTAGAATAAACAGGGCAGTATTTAACTACACTTTTTAGACTTGCAAGTACCCTTCATGCTTTTAGAGTACTTTGGGAATAACAACAGATTCGCTGCTGTGTGTGCATCATAACAACGTACATTGTGGGGAAGTTCCTCTTATCTGCTTCTTACTATTTAGCTGAGTGTTATAACAACAACTTGAGAAAATGCCCTTCCTATTTGTGAAAGGCTCTGTTTAGAAAGGCTTTCTAGTATTATACTAGTATTCTAGTATTATAAATCGAAAGCAGGCAAGGTCTTGTGTAGATTTCAGTGATAATAGGTTGGCCCAACAGGAGCCTTGCTCATATAACTGCTATATGCTAATCAACAGGTTGATTATGAATCATCACTTTGTCGTGGTGAGTGGACTTGCACATTCCTATGATCCTTGTGAGCAAAGCCATCAAGGGTCTCGTACTCCCAGCAGGGTCACCCATGATCCTACACTTTGTCAAAGGGGAACTCCCCACCAGAGTAGAAATTATATATTGAACAGATGGAAAGCACTTTCATCTGGGTAGGTTGAAAGCAAAGAGTAAGGTTACCATAACTTCTGTCACAGAGCTTCAGTATGTTGATGACAACGTAGTGTGTGAACACTCAGAGGATGACCTCCAAACCATCCTAAGTATCTTCGCAGAAGTTTACAAAAAGCTTGGCCTATCACACAACACGCAAAAAACAAGCATAAAACAACCCCTCTGCAGTGCCACAAATCCAACTCAATGGTGTACCATTGGAAAGTGTCGATCACTTCTCCTACCTGGGCAGTTATCTTTCCACAAGGGCCGACACCGATGCCGAAATCCAGCATCGCCTGAGCTCTGCGAGTGCAGCTTTCTCCTGAATGAAGTGCAGAGTGTTTCAGGACCGGGACATTCACAGGGGATCCAAAATGCTTGTTTACAAAGCTATTGTACTACCAACCTTACTGCACGCTTGTGAAACATGAACCACTTATAAAAGCCATCTCCAACTCCTTGAAGGATTCCATCAACGATGTCTCTGAAATTTTTTACACATCACTTGGGAAGACAGGCCAGTGTACTAATGCCAGTGTACTGGAAGAAGCAAAGATTACCATTGCCGAAGCAATGATTCTTCATCATCAACTTTGTTGGACTGGTCATGTTGTTCGGATGCCTGATTATCGTCTTCCAAAGCAACTAATCTATTCCAAACTTAAAATGGAAAGCGTAATGCTGGTGATCAACAAAAGGCAACCTGCAAATCTTAAAAAAAATGTAGTATAAACACTGACAACTGGGAAACACTGGCCTGCGAGTGTTCCAATTGGAGAACAGTCTTTAGCAATGGTGTCATGGACTCTGAAGACACTCAAACTCAGGACAAAAGGGAGAAACGTGCTAAGAGGAAAGCAAGTTTGGCAAACCCTCACTGTGATCAACCTATGTCCCCAACTGTGGAAAGCCATGTGGATTCAGAATTGGCCACACAGTTACTTACGGACTCACTAAGACCATGTTCATGGAAGACAATCTTATTTGGCTACGAGTAATCACCAAAGAAGAGAAGAAGCAGCTAAACATGTGTTGGACCACCCTGTCTGCTGGCAAGCTCTTCCTAATACTGTTGTAGGATGCAACAATATCATTGGGCAGTTGTTTTATGGCATAATAAGTGCAACCTTGTATTAATACATTATGTTCAGGGAACAGGGAAAAACTAAAAATGAATGGCCCTGATCTATAAATGTCCATGTGCAACAAAGCATAGTTGTAGAACCACTGCTTTGAAGAGAAGTGGCTGGAGAAGTGGAATTAAATCTACCGGTATATTGCACATCAAGTAGAGAGTAGGGCTACTGAGCAGAACACACTGCATTATTTTAACACCAGTCAGTATATGAAAGGCTATCTGAAAGCCATCAGAGTAGCACAGTTGGTAGAGCATGAGACTCTTAATCTAATGGGTCATGGGTTTGAGCCCTATGTTGGGCAAAAGATTCCTGCATTTCAGCCAGTTGGTTTTTATGATCTCCTTCCAACCAAAGGAGCCAACTTCTAGGGGCCAATGTCCCTTCGCCTCCCAATAAAATATTTGAGGGAGCCAGCCCGCCCACCCCAAATTGATAAGCACTGCCACTCAAATGGTGGGTGGGTGCAGCATCTTGTGATCAATATTTTATTCAAGTTGGCACCCCTGCTTCCAACTTTCCAATTCTATGCTTCTGTGATTCTGTGGCCCTGTCTGGGTTGTGTGTCCCTTTACTACCATGCATAGATGCCAACTCCCTAGGAGCACCCACAAAATTCCCCATAAAGGGGCCGGACATCCACAAATTTTGGTGCCTGGGCCATGCAGGCTGCATGGCACCCATGGCCCTGGGCACCAGCAGTCAAAGGGCCAAGTTGGCACGCCTGCTACCACGCCCTATTTTTACCTCACAACTGAAATATTGAGATCGCTTTCGGCCACATCGCTATTGGGTTAGTGGGTTAGTGACCATATGGCCTATTCTTTTGAGCGTGAAAATTGCAATTAACAAGGAGGAAAAAAGTTTATGTACTTCCAAAAACACTGGTTGATTTTTTGTTTTGTTTTGTTCGCTAAGCCATGATCCAAGCCACCAAAGCAGTCAGCTGGGAGCTGCCACCACGTTTGGGGTTTCTCTGTCCTTCCGTCCTTCCTTCCTTGGGCTCTTCTCTTGGGCACCTTCCCCCTCCCCTCCACGGCAGAAGAAGCCAGCGAGGCTCCGGCTCCGCTTCTCACAACAGCGAGCAGGCCGCTTTTCTGCGCCAAAGGCAGCGTTTACAGCTGCGGCAAGAAGAGGCCCGCGCGCCTCGGAAGGAGCCTCGCGCCGTCCAGGGAAGACGCCCGCTCCCCTCGGAGAGAGAGAAAGAGAGCGCGCCGGCTCGCTTGCGCGCGACGCTCGGGCGCCCCGCCAGCCTCCGCCCACCCGGGCCCTTGGCTCCGCCCCGGGAGCTGGCGACGCCGGCGACTCGTTCATCTCGCCCAGGAGCTAGGCTGGGGCGGGAGGGGGAGCGGGCAGGTTCCTTCTGCCTTCCGCGAGCAGCTGTCTCGCCCGGATAGGCTGGTGGAGCGAATGGGGCGGCTGCGCTGAGGAGGGGTCGGCGGCTGCGTGGGTGGATGGGAGTGGGGGGAAAGGCGGGCTGGGCTGAGGGGTAAACCCAGCCAGAGACAGAGAGAGAAAGAGAGAGAGAGAGAGACCCCCCGCTCCAGCTCGCAGGCGATGCACCTCACTTGCTGCCTTGGCCGTCTCCTCCTCCCCCCGGCTTGGAAGCTTTTGTTCTTCTCTCCACTTTGGGGCAGAGGCGAAGTGCTGCAGTTGCCGCCGCCGCCGCCGCCGAAGCCTCGGCTTCCCGGGTCTCTTGTCCGCCAGGAAAGTTCCCGGAGGCAGCAGCCCTCGACTCGCGCGTCCGCCTGCCCAGGACCGGGGCTTGTTATTGTTGTTTTGAGGTGAGGTTAAATCTCAGGGGGAAGAGGAGGAGGTTGGATGGGCAGGAGCAGATGGAGCCGCGTGTGGCTCCCTGGAGCAGGGCTGCGAACGGAGCGAGGGCGAGGGGCTCGAGCGAAACCTCGCCGCGATTCGGAGATGCTGGACTTGGGCTCCTGTCCTCCTCCCCCTCCTCGCTCCCGACTTCATATCTTAGAGCACATGCTGCTAGGGGGGAGGGGAGGGGAGGTTGGATGTGATGTAAATACTCCTTCATCACCTTAAAGGGTAGATCTCTCCCCGCAGCTCTTTCAATAAATTCTTGGGGCGGGGGGGGGGGATGTAGAGATGGGATGCACGTTGGTGATGGTGAGTGTGAAATGAAGGGAGCGTTGGATTTACCAGTGTGCGCGCACATATATTTATACATATACATCCACACAGACACAGACAGGGTGCCAACTTGAACAAAATATTGGGGGGGGGAGGTAAGCCCTGCCCTGCATAATCAATCACAAGACGTGGTGCACGCACACCGTTTGAATGGCAGTGCCCTGCAACTTGGGGTTGTGGTGGCCCCCTCTAATATTTTATTGGGGGGGCGAAGACCTCTCAGCCCTTAGGAGTTGGCTCCTATGTATTCTGACTACAGAACCAAGGGATGGCATTTGTGTGTGTGTCTATATATATATATATATATATATGTATGGTGGTGCTATATGGATGGATGTGTGTTGTTTTGCAAGGTGCCAGAGTACTTTTTGAAAACCAGGAACCCAAATTAGGACCAGATGGATTCCATTGCCTTAATTTATAAAATCAGAGGTCTGCAATAAGTCCTAGGTGTATTGAGGACTGACGCCTCAGACTTCGGCTTTGGCCTTTAATTAATTAATTCCTGCTAACCCCTCCCTGTCTCAAATTAAACTTTGCCTAAAACACCAAGGGCAACTGCAACATCCTTGGCAGTGATTAAAGAATTGGTGTGTTTAAGTCATTCGTGCACATTAGTTATTCCGTAATGCACTTTCACTATTCTCTGTTGCTACAATCAGAGTTATTAGAACCAGAGTGGTAGGAAATTGCATGATTCAGATTTAAACCACATTCCCCCCGCCCCCGTGTGTCCTCCATGTTGGTATTCTGACTACAGAACCAAGGGATGGTATTTAGAAGTGAAATGATATTACTGTATGTACAAACTTACTGTATGTGGTGGGTTAATAAGGGCTTTCAAACTTCACATACTTATGCTGGCTTTCCTGAAGTGGTGAAATATTGAATCCTGGTTAAAAAGAGAGGCAGTCCTTCACATCTGAATAAATGAGGTCCCTTAACCACATTTTTAAAAGCTGTTAAAAAGAGCTATAACAGAACAGTTTTATATTATATATATATATATATATATATATATATATATATATATTACACACACACACACACACACACACACACACAACATCGGTATGTTGCTCCATAACATGAAGTTCTCTGGGCAGCTACAATAAATAAGGAGCAGGATTTTTCACTGGACAGTGTCCAGTAGGACTTACTCCAGTGTGTGTAACCTGGGAGTAAGTCTCACTGAGCTTATGCATGTATGGACATGCAATGTAAAGCACTAATTTATTTCCTTAATATGTGTTAAGTGGGTTTTTCTCCCTTTCAGTTTCTGACAGTTAAATCTGGGTTGACTTTATAGCCATGCAATCTGATTATTGAAAGGGGACTGTTTTTGTAGTCATTTGTCGGTAAATGTGAGCGGGGGGCGGGGCAGCGGTTGGCAACTGCTTGTAGAGTGAAATATGTATATTTTAGGAGGGCTGTAATTCAGGTAGGTGGTGAAGGCTCCCTGCCATCTTGTAAGGGAAAGTAAATTCACAGCTAAAATGTAAATGGTTGATTTGCTGGTAACTTCAGAACCAGGGTACTTCAGCTGAATTCAACAGGACATGAAATTTGATGTGCTTCAATCTAACCCTGTGAATGGTAATTTGGGAGCCCTATTTAGACGCATGGGATGTATGTTTCCTGCAAGTATGTCTTGCAGTGTAATTCTAGCCAGTGTGCATGCTACTGTATGTAATATTAGAACATTTGAATTGTTCTATATTTCCTTATTGCAAAGCTCTTTTCTGGTGGCAGAGTGGTGTGTGATGCCAGAATGAATGCAGTTCAAGTGTACGCTACTTACATATCACCACCTGTAAGTTAGTTATTTCTTAGAGTGTGTTGCTGCCTGAATTCATCCTTGGAGAGTTGAAATTCTACTGCAGCTTGCTAATGCTGTAAATTCTGCAATGACTAAGGTTACGTATAACAGGTAGGCTCTTTGATTAGGCAAACTAGTGAGCATATGCTTCTGTGTAGTATACTTTTTCTGCCGTAATATTTTGGTATGGGTAATAACTTTTAGGAAAAGAGTTTACTCGCATTCTTTGTACTGAGATACTTCATGGAGATAAATAAAAGGCAACTTGTGAAAGCAACAATATTACTTTTTGCAGAACTGTATTTTAATTTACAGCATCCCTCCAGAGTTTCTAACTCACCAAATCAGGTGCAGCTTACCAGCCATGTGACCTCAGGGAGGCAACAAAACTTGGTGGGTTTTATCAAGAACTTGGTAGGATGCCTATGTGGCTGCTAGGCTGCATTAGGCCTTGTGGGTTGCAAGTGGTACAGGCATGTCAGAACAGCTGCTTTGTCATGAAGACTGCAGTGTGCATTCCCAAGAGGAATGTGGAAAAGTTATTCTCTTCAACTCTTTTTATATATTACATTTTATTAAGTTTCCAGGCTGCAGAGTTCATGACAAACTGTGTAGTAAAGAGAGAATAAGGTACTGATATAGTGTAGATTACTGCATTAAAACGACTTTTGAAGTGCTCTCTGGATGGGATTACTTCCAAACAAGTAGCTACGGAATTACAGCCTTTTCCCCCATAGATTGGATAGGCTGTATCTGGATCTCTCTTTAATAAGTGAGATAGATATTTCCAATGTTACTTTGAAAAGCCATCCAGTGTGCCTACAGTATGTAACGTTCCCTGTTGCACACATTCCAAATAATGCTTGTTGCTTCAGGAGATGCAGGGGCATACAAAGTGTGGGGCGGAGGGGGTGGGTTGTCCCGGGTGCCACTCTGGAGTGTGTGTGTGACAAGATGGCTCCTGCTTCCCCCCAGCTGTAGAGCGGCTGAGGATGCACGCAGTCAGTATGCGCTCTCTTGCACCACCCATGCGGGCATCCGTATGGGCTGCTGCTCTCGCGCGCCATCCATACAGGCATCTGTATGGGCTGCCTCTTGAGCCGCAGCCCATACGGTTGCCGTGCAAGCGGCAGCCCGTATGGCCGTTGCACACGAGCGGCAGCCCATATGGAGTGTGCATGTGCGGCATCCCATACAGACTGCGCATGTGTGGCATTCTGTACAGAGTGCACACCCATGGCAGCCCATACGGACGTTGTGTGTGCATCACTGGGCGGTTCCTCCGCCACTGGAGAGATGGGCAAGTTACTAAAGTGTATGACAGCATTTCA